ATCATTTCTCGCCCTCTGGGGTCTGTGGCAGCACTGCTCTCCCCTCTATTCCATCACTGAGTCAGGGGATTGTTTCCTCTCAATCATCTGCAAATTCCTCGCTAACTTCCCACTTCACTCACTTCAAGTGTGCTGCTGGTCCCTCACCGAAATTCCATAACTGGAATGAGGATCAGTGGTTCAGAGAGCTGTGTCTATTCATTGAGGCTCAAATTACGATCAATCAGGGCCTTCCCGCCAAACACACACCGAAACTACGACGTTGGTACAACGTTCGAACAAGTTTTAACGCCTCCTAACCAGTTATAACAACCAATATAGCAAGTTGGAACAACGTTCTAATTCGTCATAAACACGTTAAGGCAAGATGTAACCACTTTATTACAAGTTGTAACAAGCGGAAAATAGAGACAGTTTCGGTTTGTTTCCAGGGTTAAAAGTGAGGATCAAGCTAACCGCACGAACCTGCATCAACAGCAACAAGAAATAACCCTTCTCTGTGAGGATATTAGAGCCTGTCACACTAACCAACAAAAATTCCAGCATGACATAAACCATCTCCATGAGGAAAATACACGTCTGAAAACCAATGAATCTGTCAAAAAACAAGAGGAAGCTCTTGACAAAATGAGTGCGTGTATCAGTACTATAACTGCTCAACAATTTATCTCTCAGGATGAACAAGACCAGCAAAAGATGCTGGACTCTGTTATTGTGTCATCTTCAGTCATTCCTGTGGAAAGTGAGGGCGAGAAGTCCATTGACATTATACATGCTTTCATAAAAGACCAACTGCTTTGTGAGGTCAACAAAACAAACATAATTGCTGCTTACAGGTAGGCAAAAAGAATCCAGCAGGACATAACCAAAGAAAAATTTGCCTCAAACCAGCTAGAGGCAAATTTTGCCTCTAGCTAGAAGCAAACCAGCTTTTTGCTGGTTTGCCTCTAAATTTTGCTAGAGGCAAACCAGTTACCCATTCCCTAAAATCTGATCTTGTCCAGGCAGCAGTATCCTATAAAAAGGAGGTTTACATCGAGTGCTTGACCAGGAAAAGGCAGGGACGCCTTTATTGTCTGCGACATGTCCAGGAACAAAACCAAGGTGTGATCCATCAGTGCTTTGTTAAAGATGGCATGATAAAAGTGAGGAAATCTCCTACAGGAAATTTTTTTATAATATCAAATGAGGATAACCTCAATAAATTCCTCTCCCATTGTGCTTTATCTGACCTGACTAACCCTATCATTGCCTCATCTTAATTAACCCCCCTTGTCACCAAGTGCAGGCTATAATATAATATAAATTGAGTCCAAGTACAGTCAAAAGCTCTGTACCTCAGAGTACAGTCCTTGCATCACTACTTTTCCTTGTTCTCATATCAGATATAGACAAAAATACAAGTCACAGCTTCATATCATCCTATGCAGATGACACAAAAATCAGCATGAAAATTACCTCTGCTGAAGACATTGAAAAGCTTCAAGCAGGTATTAATAAAGTTTTCAACTGGGCAACAGAAAATAACATGCTTAACACTGATAAATTCCAGGTACTCAGGTATGGTAAAAATGAGGACCTTAAACATAATACATGGTACAAAACACAATCGGATCTGCCCATAGTAGGAAAGCAGCATGGAAACGATTTGGAAAATAATGATGTCTGACGACCTAACGTTTAGGGAGCATAACCAAGCAAATATTGCGTCAGCCAGAAAAATTATAGAATGGATTACGAGAACTTTTTAATTGGGATCCCATCACAAGGGTTGTACTATAAAAATCACTTGTACTGTTCCATCTTGAGTACTGCTCAGTACTCACTTCCCTTTTTCAAAGTGGGAGACACTGCTGAAATGGAGGGAATACAGTCCATGTACAGCATACATGGACTCGATAAAGCACCTAAATTATTGGGATCATTTCAAAGCTCTCTAAATGTACTCGCTAGAAAAGAGATGAGAGAGATATCAAATAATGTTACACGTGGAAAATATTGGAGGGCCAAGTCCTAAATGTACACGGTAAAATAACAACATACTGGAGTGAACGATATGGAAGAAAATGCAGAATAGAACCAGCGAAGAGCAGGGGTGCCATAGGCACAATCGGAGAACACTGTATAAACATCAGAGGTCCACGGTTGTTCAACGTCCTCCCAGCAAGTGTAAGAAATATTTCCAAAACAACCGTGGACATCAAGAGAAAACTAGATAAGTTTCTCCAAGGAGTGCCAGACCAACCAGGCTGTGATGGATATGTGGGCCTGCAGCATGCTCCAAGCAACAGCCTATTGGACCAAGCTCTCACAAGTCAAGCCTGGCCTCAGGCTGGGTTTGGAGAGTAGGACAACTCCCAGAACCCCATCAAGCAGGTAAACAGTTTCATTGTTGCCTGTGTCCTCTAGTGTAAACTATTACTTTCAGTGTACCTGAGTGTACCTCAAAAGTAATCTACCTCATTTTTTTCTAGAGTAACTTTAGTAATTTTAGTAAGTTTTGTGTTCCAAACATAGTCATTCTTCATTGAATTATTATTTTTACTTATCTATTTTTCTGTGGGGAGCCCTTTCAGCTCCCTTGAGCTATCGGGCTAATGTGGGAGTCATTAGACCAGGGCATTAGTCTGTGGAGTTCAGCCTACCAGGGACCACGAGCCAGAACCTGGACCCTCTGAGATTTCAGGGAGCAATGGCCCTGGTAAACCCTTCTGTTGTTGGGGGGTTTTCCCTATCTGCCATCAACCAGCATTAGGCACCCAGAAAGGTAGGCATAACAAAACAAGCCCCACATGATAAGAAAATTGCAACCGAAAACTGAAAGAGGCAGAACTCTCCAATCCCAAGCAAACTTCACATCTTGTTAGTCCATCTTTAGTTAACTATTAATAAACTTACCCTTTACATTGACAAAACCTTCTATATTTTGTTTGGTAATAAATCCTCAAATCAAATTTATCTAAGAATAAAAATATCCAAATTAGTACCAAAGTAGATGGTCAATTCCTTGCATTCTCATCGATAACAAGCTTAATTTCCAGGGCTACATTCAACATGTAGCAAAGAAAGTTTCTAAAACTGTTGGCATTCATTCTAAGATCAGATATTATGTACCTCGCCCTACCCTTGTAACGCTCTATTACTCTCTCATCTATCCTTATTTCAATTATGGTATTTGTGCTTGGGGTTCTACTGCCCAAAATCATCTACATTCTCTAATTACCCAACACAAATCTGCTATTATAATAATAACAAACTCTGGCCCCAGACAGCACTCGGCCCTCCTACCTAAATCTTTGAATATGTTAGATATTAGGTCACTGCACATCCTCTCAAGTTTACTCTATATATATACAGTATATAAAACTCTGATCTGTAATGCCAATCCTGACCTTAAATGCTTCCTAGAATGTTATAACAGAACCCATAGACACCAAACTAGAGACAAATACTTGATATTCCAAGAGTGCGACTTAACTAAACTAGAAATCCCCAGCAAATCAAGGGACCCAGAATGTGAAATGACCTTCCCAATCATGTCAAAGGCTGTATTCACCTAGTTTCACCTAGTTTTGCTTGCGGTGGTTGAGCTTTGCTCTTTCGGCCCGCCTCTCGACTGTCAATCAACTGTTTACTATTTTTTTTTCCTCCACGCCACACACACACACACCCTGGAAGTGGCCCGTGACAGCTGACTAACTCCAAGGTACCTATTTACTGCTAGGTAACAGGGGCATTCAGGGTGAAAGAAACTTTGCCCATTTGTTTCTGCCTGGTGCGGGAATCGAACCCGCGCCACAGAATTAAGTCCTGCGCGCTATCCACCAGGCTACCAGGTCCCCTCTGTATCCCTCTCAACCAGTTTAAGAGAGAAATGAAGTACTGTACTACCTAATAAGCTCCATGTGACCTACCTTGCCTCCTAAATGTCAACCTGTCTTGCTATTTTCCAACATTATTAATTATTGACCAACTTGTTTAACTGCTGCTGTCTGCCATGTATTATCTCAAATAAAATTCTAATCTGCTGTTTATTTAGTTAAAATTACTTCTGCTGTTCTGTTGCATTTTCTACTGTTCTATCCATCATGTAATTATCACCATTCTTTTTTTTTTTTTTTTTAAATTTAATTTATGCTTTTGATCTCAATTGGTATTAAGTTTTAGTCTAGGTTTATTTTTTCACACCTTATCTGAAACGTTGTGGCTTCAGGCATTGCATGTACGTACCAGCTTTGTCTATTAATCCGATATTATGTTTGTAACTCGTTTTCAATGTGTGTACCTTTACCTGAATAAATATCTTATCTTAAATTAACAGCTAGCATTATTGAGGCTAGCAATTTAATAAATTTCAAAATAGGACAGACACTGAAAATTATAGGGATCAAAATACAGTGTCATGAATTGGGTTAGTAGGCCTACTGCAGTGTTTTATACTTGTAATGTTCTTATGTTCTGTTTTTAAGGTCACCCCCATCTTGGGGGTGATTTCTTTGGAAGAATGGATTAAGTTGTTCTCATCTTCAAGATTGTACATGGCCATGTAGGTAGCCATCATCACCGTTTCTGCCAGTTCTGAGGTGACCACCGTGTTCCATTCACCTAGGGCCAGATTCATGAAGCAGTTACGCAAGCACTTACGAACCTATATATCTTTTCTCAATTTTGGCGGCTTTGTTTACAATTATTAAACAGTTAATGAGCTCTAAAGCACCAGGAGGCATGTTGTTATAACAATATCAACAGTTGATTGTGAAGTTTTCATGCTTGTAAACTGTTTAATAAATGTAACCAAGGCCATCAAATATTGAAGGAAGATATACACGTCTGTAAGGACTCCCATAACTGCTTTGTGAATCTAGCCCCTGGGCTTTAGGAGACTCGAACCGTAGACCCCATGTGTGTGTGAGGCCGAAGTTCGATTTCACTTAACCACGGTGTGTCACCCTTTCCATCACCCTCGCACTTCTTGCCTTCATCACTTTTCCTTTCTTCAGGAGCCAGCTTCTATGGAGTTTCCGACTTGGAAATGTTGGCAATGGACACGCACAAGTTTGAGAGCAGGTACCTGGACACACTGATAGGAAACTTGGACACGTGCAAGCATCTCTATGATGCTAGGTCACCCATGAAGAATGCAGAGAAGCTTGGTAGACCAGTGATATTCTTCCAAGGATCAGAAGATAAGGTTAGATTTTTGTGTATATATATATATATATACATATAGCTATGTATTTACATTTGGTGTATATCTTAATGTAGTTTATATAAAAAAAACTTGCCACTATTAAGAGGTCTGCCTGAAATTTATTTAAATGTCTTAATGGTGTAATAATTCCAGTCTTCAAAATTATCAGTCAAATGAGTCAAAAAAGAATAAATCTATGATTCATCAGCTGTATATTCCAAAGAATAGCACAAAGAACATTATGTACAAAGAACATAAGTGTTGTGGGGGACAGGTGTTACACAAACTAATGAAGGCACTATTACGCACAGCGTTTTGGGCATAACTTTAACTTTAAATTTTTTCCAAATTATTTTAAGGTGTGAAGGGGTAAACACTTATATTAATACTAAAAAAGAGAAGAAAGCTAACAAAAATTGAGAAAGTTCAACAAAATTGAACTAATGTAAATCCCTACTGCATCCTAACTGCAATACTGTATTCAGGGAGGGAGCTTAGACCCAAGGATATTTCAGCCCATCTGCCTGTTTTTGTAGTACTGTACTTGTAATAGTGATGAGGACCATAGTTTATATACCGACGTCCAATGAAATTAGAAAGTAAGAATGGGTGCTATTGAGTTGGACAAACTAGAAAACTATTTTCTACTTATGTTGCAAGGGCCTGAGCAGCAGTTGAGTGGACAGTGCTTCAGATTCGTAGTCCTGAGGTTCCGGGTTCGATCCCCAGTGGAGGCGGAAACAAGTGGGCAGAGTTTCTTTCACCCTGATGCCCCTGTTCATCTAGCATTAAAATAGGGACCTGGGAGTTACAGCTGCTTCCTGGGGGTGTGTAACAAAAAGGAGGCCTGGTCGAGGACCAGGTCGTGAGGACGCTAAGCCCCGAAATCATCTCAAGATAACCTCAAGATCACCCAAAGACAAACTACCCTAACCTAACCTTCCTAGGCTTAATGCATGATATCCGAGGCCTAATATAATACATTGTGTGCTATACTAGGCCTAGCAATATTTAAGTTTGTGTTTTAGTTTAATTCTTCTGCCTATAAAGTGAATTATACTACAAAGTTCTATCTAATTGCTTAGAACGGCAATCTTTATACTATGGTGCACAGTTACAAAAACTACTATCTAAACAGGAGAATGAGTTGGTGTATTTAGGGTGCCAAGATGGGGGTGAATATCAGCCGTGATCATGGGAACGCATGGACCTGAATGTGTAGACCAGGGTCAAGGGATCTTTTGAACCACTGAAGCACTATCTTCCTGCTCACCATTTAAGGTACCAGCCATAAGTGTTTCTGCTCGTTTACTTGATGGGTGGAGATACATATGGTGAAGGCTCTTATTTGGGATTGTAAAGAATACACTTGGATTCCTTTTCGATATCTTTATTAGGTGGGTAACACAATATGACCTGCACAACCAAGGTCCTACCTTGCTCTTGCCTGGCTATACGCTGCTGGCACCTACTTGGGCAGGCACCCACATGGCTCTATGGGTAATGACGTCAAGAGGCCTAGTGCCTCCTGATTGGCTAGTGCTACAATTTGAAGGCTGACACAAAGGAAATTGTATAAAATTGTAATTATTCCTCAGAATTGCTAAAGGGCATGTACGAATTTAATATCTAACAAAGTATAATTTAGTCGGATGTATTGCCATCCATGGAACGTCAAAAAGGGTACGTACTTTTGAATCCACACGAGAAGCAATTCAATGCATGTTTTAATCACCTGTAGGTTTCCATGTTTTGCATTTCCCAAACATTCCCTGCAAGATTGAATTCTGTAATGTATCAACACCTTAGATTTTCATCACATACATCTCTTTCCAGATCGTTATACCGAGCCATTCCAAAGACATGTACGAGATCGTGAAGAGCAAGGGCCTTCCAACTGCTTACGTCCTTTATCAAGGCGAGTCGCACAAGTTTTCAATAGCAGTAATATTTATATTGTAGCTGGCATTGTATCTTCATTATATTTTTTGTAATTAAAATGAGGCCTACTGTGTAGTTAATATAATGTCACTTTCAACAAGCCTACTATAGCTTATTAGTACTCTATTTGGATTTTTTTTTTAATACTTGCAGGTAATGCCCACACCTCTTATCATTTTCAACTATAATAAATATTTCTTTGTGAAGATCCAACACATTGAATAATATAGGATGTACTGTACTGTAGAGGAGGCAATTTTCTTCATATGGACACCAAAAATGAAAGGCTTCCATTTTTTGTCTTAAGCAGGCGAGGCTCATGGATTTATCAAAACGGAAAACATAAAGTCTTCTCTGGAGGACGAGCTGTATTTCTTCTCTAAAGTCTTCAACTTCACGTTATCTGATGTTACATCTAAGGTGAGTGTACAGATCTCTACTCTAATGCTAACTGGCTGTGTTATTGTACTCACCTAGTTGTGCTTGCAGGGGTTGAGCTCTGGCTCTTTTTGGCCCACCTCTCAACTGTCAATTTTTTTTTTCTCTTTTTCGCCCCCCCCCCCCCCCTTACAAGCTTGATCTGTCACAAGTGCCGCTAGTGTACAGGTATTTTCAAATGCGTAAACTATGTTGTTGTGCATACAAATTCATGGCCCCAGTGTTCTATTGGAGCTCCTGTGCACCCTGGTAGTGTTAGGAAGCCGTATACAGTAATTGCAGTGTTAAGATTAGGGTATCTCATGTGATCAAGCATCATCCGTGGAGCAAGTACAAATCACTCTGTTCAATAACTTTGGGTACAATGCTTCATAGCTTAGAGAGACCTCCCCAAACCATGTCTGTAGGATAAAGTGTAATAAATTAGTGTACATGTAATTTACACATGGTTGTAGCCATGATCGTCTCCCTTATAAAATTTTGCATCAAAGGGAACCATATTCATGCTAGTACTACATCACATGAATAAATTTCTTATCAATAATTTTCCAGTTCACTCTAGCTCAAAAGTGTAATATTGTCACATGTTTTAAGAATTGCCGCCTTAAGTTTGTGTTTTTCTAAATTTTGTTATGCTCAAAATGCTGTGTGTATTAGTGGCTTTTAGGCACTGTAGTCATAGTGTGAGTCCTCCACTGTTCATGTATGTACTCTTGCCTAAATAAATACTTATTATATTGCTGGAACCGAGACAAATTCCCTGCATAACAGGCCGAGTTAGACATGACCAATAATTCACCAGAAGAATTCTTTTGGGTTCTGTGTTTGTTGCTCTAAGCTGTTTAGCCTAATAGTTGACCAGTGCAACTGGTGATGTTACAAAGATGGGCCAGGAGAAGTAATTTCAGACACCGAGACCTTCGATATCAGTAGCCTTATATCTTTCAATTCTCATGTTTACATCCTCAGTGGAAGCTAGGAATTTTTTTTAAAGGCTTGATGCCATCTTTTGTTATTACTTTATCATCTCATATCTACCAGAGACTTGAGTAAGATGACTGCAGTTAAGAGATGTTCCAGAGAGCAACACCAGGTTTATGTAGATTCATCGACATTGGTTCACTGTTGCACCAGTTTTTAATCACCATTGCACCAACATCATTAGAACAACGGACCCAAAATAACCTAGAAGATAATAACATATAACTAGTTGCTTTAGTTAACCTAGGATATAGAATCTAAGTATAAATGTCTGGCATGCATGTGTATGTGCAACAGGCTTCACACTAATTGAAGTTATAAAGTACAAAAGTACAATGAATTAGTTGTTCAAGATATGAAGCTTGGCTAAAAAGCATCAGATTAAGGATACTGGAACCAAAATGGTCTTTTATAAAAAAATAAGAAGCAGTAATTTTTCCCTAATAGGCAAGGATTGAATGCTTTATAAGGTTATTTGTATCCTATATTGTGGCTGTTGTATTTGATTGTAATCACATTGAGGATTTTTAAAATTTAAGTTATGCAGTTACTAGTAATTAAGCACAGCTTAGTGCCAATTAATATTAAGTATTTTAATAATTTACAGGTTGTGATAGAAAACCTGGATTCCTGGAAGGGTACAAGTAGTGCGTCGCAGGAGCACTTGTCGGCCTGAGGAGAAGAATGTATTTGGTATAAAACTTGGGTTTTAATGAAACTAAAAATATATAAAATGTATAACAAAGTTTAGCTTGCTTCATTTGTACAAGAGCATTATAATCACAATGAAACATTTTTTGGTGATCTTGCTTGTAATACTTCCTACACAAACTGGATAACTTAATACTGTACTGTATGTAACATTTCTTTGGCCAATTCCTATTCAAAATATTTATCAAGTATCTTACATCTTTTATCAAACTATTTGTCAAAGATCTGTATAACTAAATTGCACAGAACAATGTCGCAATAACATAGCTGAAAATAGGACGGCCAACCCACAAAATTGTTAGTGATGGAATTGTGGTGTCTTGCACAGCAGGGTATGTTATAAGAAGTCATTCATTACGAACCACCCGATTGTCTATGGACTATTTTTTTCACTATGTAAAAGTGGGATTATTTCTACACCACTACATATGTTTACTTCAAAAACATCTGAGAGAACCAAAAATATTAACTGTTTTATATTTCTGAATATCTATCTTTTAAAGTAAATATTGCTATAAGATTTAACAAAATCACTTGCCTTAAACTATTGCCAGCATAGGAGCCACATGTTTATAAAGTTTTCCTCAGTGTGGAGTACAGTATTATGATGGGATTATATTTTCCAGTTATAATACTTTTATAACTAAATACAGCTTAGATTTACTTCCTTTAGCAAACAATATACCGATAAATACTGCATTACCCTATCACGTTTCTGAATGGACCAGTGTTCCGTGCATGCACCAGGCAAGGTAATGGTTGCATATCATTTTCTATAAATACAATTTTGCAATTATGTAACTATACATGGTGTTTAATTTTCTTCCCGATTAAATATCTCTGCAATGTTTTTTTTTTTTTTATTTCATGTATTTTTTTCATGTATTAACAATCAATTTCATTAAGTTTCCAATGATTCGTATTATGGGTTCTACATCTGCAGATTTCATGATTTCTCAACCAGTTGTATGAATTTGCAAGATACAAAATATCTAGCAAATTGCAATCTAGCTACAGATTTGGTAGTGTGTGGCACCCAACCCGTTCTCACAAATTTGTATAGTCAATATTGACTTATTAAATACGTGCATATGTGACATACTAAACATACTAGTTTACCTTGAAAAGCTTCATAGAAAACACCGACCTTACCTAACCTTCTTAGTATGTTAAGATAAGCATCTTATTGCTTCGTAATTACAATTATTACTTGACCTATTTTTTTATAGGTACCTATTTGGACCTATTTTTTTTTTAGGTACCTATTTGGATTTTTTTTTTAGGTACCTATTTGGACCTATTTTTTTTAGGTACCTATTTGGACCTATTTTTTTTTTAGGTACCTATTTGGACCTATTTTTTTTAGGTACCTATTTGGACCTATTTTTTTTTTTGGTACCTATTTGGACCTATATTTTTTAGGTACCTATTTGGACCTATTTTTTTTTTAGGTACCTATTTGGACCTATTTTTTTTTAGGTACCTATTTGGACCTATTTTTTTTAGATACCTATTTGGACTTTTTTTAGGTACCTATTTGGACCTATTTTTTTTTGGTACTTATTTGGACCTATATTTTTTAGGTACCTATTTGGACCTATTTTTTAGGTACCTATTTGTACCTATTTTTTTTGGTACCTATTTGGACCTATTTTTTTTTTGGTACCTATTTGGACTTTTTTTTAGGTACCTATTTGGACCTATTTTTTTGGGTACCTATTTGGACCTATTTTTTTTAGGTACCTATTTGTACCTATTTTTTTTAGGTACCTATTTGTACCCATTTTTTTAGGTACCTATTTGTACCTATTTTTTTAGGTACCTATTTGTACCTATTTTTTAGGTACCTATTTGTACCTATTTTTTAGGTACCTATTTGTACCTATTTTTTTAGGTACCTATTTGTATCTATTTTTTTAGATACCTATTTGGACCTATTTTTTAGGTACCTATTTGGACCTATTTTTTTAGATACCTATTTGGACCTATTTTTTTTAGATACCTATTTGGACCTATTTTTTTTTTAGATACCTATTTGGACTCTTTTTAGGTACCTATTTGGACCTATTTTTTTAGGTACCTATTTGGACCTATTTTTTTTAGGTACCTATTTGGACCTATTTTTTTTTTTTAGGTACCTATTTGGACCTATTTTTTTAGATACCTATTTGGACCTATTTTTTTTTGGTACCTATTTGGACCTATTTTTTTGGTACCTATTTGGACCTATTTTTGTTGGTACCTATTTGGACCTATTTAGGTACCTATTTGGACCTATTTAGGTACCTATTTGTACCTATTTTTTTAGGTACCTATTTGGACCTATTTTTTTTAGGTACCTATTTGGACCTATTTTTTAGGTACCTATTTGGACCTATTTTTTTTTAGGTACCTATTTTTATAGGTATAGGTCAAGTAATAATTGTAATTATGAAGCAATAAGATGCTTATCTTAACATACTAAGGAGGTTAGGTAAGGTCGGTGTTTTCTATGAAGCTTTTAAAGGTAAAGTAGTATGTTTAGTATGTCACATATGCACGTATTTAATAAGTCAATATTGACGGTAAGAAAGTGCAAGAACGGGTTGGTGGCACCACCCGGCTGCAGTATTCACAGCGAGACTGTATTTGCACAATGAGATGTAAATGTCAGTTGTAATAATGCATCAATTATTAGACATATTCCTTACCAGGATATTACTTTGATAATAAATATTGTAAGTAAAACTACAATATTTCAAAAATATTTAATGGACTCTTTGCCAACTACATGCTTAACCAGTATACAAAAGTGGAAAGTCATTCCCCCCGACTGCAGAAAAGATAAGCAGCCATTTCAATATATTTTTCCAAGTAATACCTAGCAGTTTTATAATTTTCTAAACTTTTGATCTGTGTGTGTCGGAAACAAGATTTCACTCTCATACCTTTTGCAATTAGTTATTAACAAGGTCATGCTGATCTCTCTCGAAGATATTCTGTTAGTCACAAATTTATATTATGCAGTCTAGCTTGCATTTCTTGAGGCTGTGTTGTTTCTCTAGTTCTGCAGTGGTTGGAATGGTGCACTCGAGTTGTCAAACGGAACTTTGTTCTGGTAGCTGGAAATGCCATTTTTGTTTATTTAGAGAAGCTGCGTTTGTTGTCTGGATGACGAGATCATTCCCATAAATTACCTCTGAGCTGTGGGCAAACCAAGTAGGATTTGTTCTAATGGGCTTTCTTAGTTTCTACACTGAAGAGCCTCCTTTATGTCTTGAGATTTATGTCTTCGACAAATTCCAGTTGGTGGTGTTATCATTTTCTAACCGGTTGTATCTGAAAACAAAATTGATATAGAGCAAAAATTGCAAAGTAAATGGAGAAATCAAGGTGGTGAGGTGAATATCTAAAGGAATAATATACAGGAAATACAAATAATTCAATACAGCTGTAATGTAGAGAATGTATGCAGAAATGATTTATAAAATCAACATGAAGTTTCACTTTAGTGGATGGACCAAAGCAGATATTTACTTTTAAAGTAAGCAGTGCCACAGTAGATACATGGGGACCAAAAGTATCTCACTCTTAAAGGGGTAAAAGATATCTCACAAGAGCAGCTTAGAAAATTGAGGGGGTGATAACAACTTGAGCAGAGGAAGGAATAAGAACATTAATGCTACGTACTTGAATGGGTGGAAAGATGACGTTGAAGCTGTACGATTGGGCAAACAGCCGTCACTCGTGGCTATCTTGTTCTCAGGGGTTGCAGCATCAGTCACACTCTTACTGACTGACCTCTGTACAACCACTCCCTTGCCCTCGCAGAGTTTACCACACCCTGTCTTCTTGAGCACTGGATTCTTTGTGTCTGGGGTGGGCCAGAGGAAAGGAGACGAGTCAAGGAACATCTCTGAGACACGGCGCAAGATGGGTCCAACAAACACTGCAGGCTGCTGCTCCCTGGGCAGGGTGGGTTCCGAGCGGACCAACTCGTCCAACATTGGTGTCTGCAGATAAGGCTGAAATCAGAGGTTAGTGACCAACAAAAACCTTTTGTATTAAGATACATTTTTTATATAATATTCTCCAATTAATTAAGTCTTATCTAATTGCCATTTAAATTTTTGTAGTTTACCTATACTGTATAAGAGATCTGTACCAACATCTCTATCCATTGATTCACTCTACTAAAGCAGAAGAAGATTCAAGCTAATTAAGATAATAAAATTAAATAATTATATCTATTCAAATAAAAGGAACCTCGGTCCAGTACAAGCAGCCAATTCAGCAGCAGCTGTAGTGGAGCCAGTACAACAGCAGCCAATTCAGCAGCAGCTGTAGTGGAGCCGGTACAACAGCAGCCAATTCAGCAGCAGCTGTAGTGGAGCCGGTACAACAGCAGCCAATTCAGCAGCAGCTGTAGTGGAGCCGGCACAACAGCAGCCAATTCAGCAGCAGCTGTAGTGGAGCCGGAACAACAGCAGCCAATTCAGCAGCAGCAGCTGTAGTGGAGCCAGTACAACAGCAGCCAATTCAGCAGCAGCTGTAGTGGAGCCGGTACAACAGCAGCCAATTCAGCAGCAGCTGTAGTGGAGCCGGTACAACAGCAGCCAATTCAGCAGCAGCTGTAGTGGAGCCGGCACAACAGCAGCCAATTCAGCAGCAGCTGTAGTGGAGCCAGTACAACAGCAGCCAATTCAGCAGCAGCTGTAGTGGAGCCAGTACAACAGCAGCCAATTCAGCAGTAGCTGTAGTGGAGCCGGTACAACAGCAGCCAATTCAGCAGTAGCGGAGCTGGCACAACAGCAGCCAATTCAGCAGTAGCTGTAGTGGAGCCGGCACAACAGCAGCCAATTCAGCAGCAGCTGTAGTGGAGCTGGCACAACAGCAGCCAATTCAGCAGTAGCTGTAGTGGAGCTGACAACAGCAGCCAATTCAGCAGTAGCTGTAGTGGAGCCGGCACAACAGCAGCCAATTCAGCAGCAGCTGTAGTGGAGCCGGCACAACAGCAGCCAATTCAGCAGCAGCTGTAGTGGAGCCGGCACAACAGCAGCCAATTCAGCAGCAGCTGTAGTGGAGCCGGCACAACAGCAGCCAATTCAGCAGTAGCTGTAGTGGAGCCAGTACAACAGCAGCCAATTCAGCAGTAGCTGTAGTGGAGCCAGTACAGCCGACAGCCAGATGTGCAATATCTTATCCATTTTAATAAAATTCCTAAGACAATCCTTTGGCAACTGGGCATGTTGAGAATGCTTATTTTTATTATATCTGTTGATCAATTTATTTGCCAAGTTATTAAACTTTACATTTTTACGAGGAATGACACTAATAAATCTTGTTAGTATGCAGAAATGATTAGTATGTACTGACTCTATATGAAAACACTCCAGTATATCCTCTTCTGCATTCAAAATCATTAACTAATACACAGGTAAGTAGTGACTGTAAGAGGACGAAACATTTATGGGTTTATTGAGATTTGAGTACTTAATAATTAGGCTCGTCTTTTAGAAATCAACAAAATTTATTTCGTCGAAATTCAACAAAGGACTTGTGCACTTATAAGATCTTTTAAACTAGCGGCATGCAATGCATCACAGTTATTTTACTTTGCATTTATTCCTGGAATGCCATTAACCTTTGGAATGGGTGTAATGCAGCCAATTGCACAGATAGCACTTATTTACTCTATGGACCTGTGAAGCAAATTGTCCTGTGGGATAGCACCGATCTTTACTACGGTTCTTTGAAATGCCAAACTGTACGATAACTACACTATGGTTCTATGAAAACCACTGACCTGCGGGACTGACATGGTAGGAGAAACATCCCCACAAGACTTTGATAGTTGCCCCTGAGGGCTCGTGGTGAAGGAGAGCCCCAGGCGGGTATGCGGCGAGTGGATTGATCCACACGCACATCGTATTGCTTTACAATAGTTGGTCTCCCCTGCAAAGATCAGTTTTTTATCACTGCCTTGAATCCATAATTCTAAACCACATTCATTAGATTTAAATACATTTGGGGTAAATAACAATATTCAAGATTACTAATTTCTTTCGTAGTTTAACAAACCATGAAAAAATCTTTGGAGCTAAACAGCGAGATTAAACTAGCATCCTGGGTCATTCTAGATGGAAGTCCTGCTCTAAAGATTTTCCGAGAAATAACAAATGTATCAAGCTACCTTTATGTATTGTAAGAGTGACATGTTAAATGATAAAACAAAAAATTACACTGCCTAAGATACTACTTAGCCAATGGTGTTATTCAGTACAGAACACTACCAAGCTATGATATGGTAGGTGATCGATTCAAGGTCTTTTTTTATTCTAATATTTGGCAGATAGTGCTCCATATATTTTGTAGACAAGATAAAATATAACATGTTCAACATGTAACCGATTTAAACCTTAAACTGCACAACACGTCATATGCAGGGTTGAGTAACTGGCAATAAATTGCGCATCGCGTCATATGACGCGATGGAGTACTATGCAAGATTTAAATGGCCTGTGGATACACGGGGTTCACCTCACCTTTATCAGGGCTCTTGTAAACAGACACCATTTAAAAAAAAAATTTGTGGGCCACATTCCCGGGTTTGAGGGCCTCAGTAGTGAGTGAGCCACCAAGACACGCAGCATGAGCTCACAGCACTGCTGACCAGATTGTGACCACAGCATCGCCTAAAAATGCCATAATCTATATGTACATGCTATTATTTAGCGATGATAGTATTACAGAAGACTGATAAAACTGATAAAAATGACCAGGATTCTGATAATAGCAGGATTGTTGTGATAATTAGCACTGTAGTGGGAGGAATAATCTTGGTGGGGAGGGAGGTAGCGTTGTCTGCTGACTCTGTGTGACCACCTTTTACTGTCTGGACTTACACTGACAGTGTGACTAAATACAAGAGATATGAGATATATACAAGCTCACAGCACTGCTGTGAGCTTGTATATGAACAACAAAGCTATACCAGCTTAGTTGTTCGCTATGGTGAACAAAACATGCAGATACTTATATATAACATCTGTATATAGTGAATAAAAGCAAAAACAGTATGGTGGGATACCTTACCTTGAGGTTACCTTGAGGTGCTCCCGGGGCTTAGCGTCCCCGCGGCCCGGTCGTCGACAAGGCCTCCTGGTTGCTGGGCTGATCAACCAGGCTGTTGGACGCGGCTGCTCGCAGCCTGACGTATGAGTCACAGCCTGGTTGATCAGGTATCCTTTGGAGGTGCTTATCCAGTTCTTTCTTGAACACTGAGTGGTCGGCCAGTTATGCCCCTTATGTGTAGCGGAAGCGTGTTGAACAGTCTCGGGCCTCTGATGTTGAAAGAGTTCTCCGAGTACCTGTTGCACCTCCGCTTTTCAACGGGGGTATTCTGCACATCCTGCCATGTCTTCTGGTCTCATGTGATGTTATTTCTGTGTGCAGTATTATGGGAGGAGAAAGGTGGCGGGTATACATAGAGATACATATCTCTACGAGAGATACATAATAATTTACACGTAGAAAATAGTAGAGGGGCTGGTCCCAAACCTGCACACAAAAATAACGTCACATGAAACCAGAAGGCATGGCAGGATGTGCAGAATACCCCCATTGAAAAGCAGAGGTGCAACAGGTACTCAGAGAACTCTTTCAACATCAGAGGCCCGAGACTGTTCAACACGCTTCCACAATACATAAGGGGCATAACTGGCCGACCCTTCACAGTGTTCAAGAGAGAACTTGACAAACACCTTCAAAGGAGACCTGATCAACCAGGCTGTGACTCATACGTCAGGCAGCGAGCAGCCGCGTCCAACAGCCTGGTTGATCAGTCCAGCAATGAAGAGGCCTGGTCGACAACCAGACCGCGGGGTCGCTAAGCCCCAAGAATCACCTCAATGTAAGGAGTAAGGTAAGGTGAGGGAGGGAGCGAGTGACAGCCAGTGGCGGGCTGCCACTGCCACTCGGCATACCAACTTAGTGGTTCGTTATGGTGAACACAAATGTAGATAATTATATATAACGTGTATATATAGTATAATAACAGCAAAAGGAGTGTGGGGAGAAGCCATTTTGGTGAGGGAGGTGGCGACATCTGCATGATTTATCATGCTGGGTACGGGTGGCTACTATGCTCTTTGGGCACTATACTGGTTTAGTTGAACAGTTATGGTGAACAAAACTTGTAAATACTTATATATAATGTGTGTATATAGGGTAATAACACCACAAACAGTATTGTTGGGGGAGAAATTTTAGTGCGTCTGACCTTGAATGTGAGAGGGAGGCAGACGCCATCTGTGTGTAGCAACGTCTCTTAGTACCTGAACTATATCAGCTTAGTTGTACAGTTGTGAACAAAACTTGTAGATATTTATATATAATGTCTGTGCATAGTGAATAAAAGCAAAAATAGTATGGTGGGAGGAGAATGTGGGTGAGTGAGGTGTTGAGGGAGTGAGTGGCAGCGAGTGGCTGGCTGGTGTGTTGCAGTCACTCCTCATTGCTTTTTGACTCATAATACCAACTTAGTGGTTCGTTATGGTGAACAAAACATGCAGATACTTATATATAACCTGTGTATATAGTGTAATAACCGACAAAGTATTTGTTCACTGTTTGATGAACAATTGAATCAACAATATGCACACCATAATTTTGAGTACAGCAATGAATTATTTTTTTTGGGGGGGGGGGGGGGAGTAAAGAGGAAGGAGAGGCATAGGTGAAGGGAAGTTTAGAAGTGGGAAATACAGTGAAAGGTATGAAAGCAGGCGGGCTGTCCGCCTTGCTGTAGCATTGATTCACACATTTATTATTTCTCCCATGATCAGAGAAAACAAATTAATAGGTTTTGAAGTTTTTTTTTTTTGTTATGCGCCTGTGAGTAACAATGGCCAAATAGCCCTTAGGAACACAAGGGTTAATAGCAGTGACCAAATTGGAGGATTTGCATTTTAGTGAAGTATGAAAAATAGATCTGAATATCAATTTTTTATGTTTCATGAAGCTCCTAAAGCATGCACTCCCAAAAGTGAGAGAGATACTTTTACACATGTAATAGATGTGTCACAGTGGCTTTATTAAATTTGCTGAAATTATAAATTTTATAACAGACCAAATATGAAATCTAAAGGTAATGTTTTCTTTGTAGAAAAAGCCAAATTGATAACTGAAACAACAGATTTTGTCCCCTCTCTGATGGCATACCTTGGGTGAAAACACTCTCGCAGCTACTGTAGGAGGAATCCCTTGCCAGTCTCTCCAGGGTGGGTGTAGTCAAGAAGGTTGGGGTCTCCTGCTCCCGCTGCTGTTATACCAAGTACAAGAAATATGTTTAGTGTGGAAGTAATAGTTCCAATCCCTTCATTACTCTATTGTTTCTTCCATGCTTGACAAATTCACATGTACATGAACCAAACAAATAAAAATGGTGGAAAATAATGTACATATTTTAGATTTATTTTTAAATTCTTAGGCAGAATAAAGATCACTGAATAGAACAGTAACACCACTAATTTCTTTAGGGTACTATTTTAATAATGTGCAACTATATAATGAGCTTTCTATATTAGTGTTTGCCTTTATGTTTTTTCATGCACCAATATGTATAACATTCTGCCCATGCACATTTAACCGAGGGCCACTAACCCTAGTGCCTTCGACGAGCACAGGAAGCCAGCGGCTTGTCGAAGGTCCCCCTCCCTCCCCCCTATTTACCCTTGTGATCCTTTCTAGGTATATTTTAAAACACAGTTTTGGCAGTTACAGCTTGGGTGGGTAGGCATTTCCATGGGTTTATAACCCTGTGGGTGAAAAAGCATCTCCTGTTCTCAGTTCTACATTGTGGCTTGTTGAGCTGGAAACCATTGCTCCTTGTTTGTGGTACATCTGACCGTCTGAAGAAAATATCCGGATCAACATTCTCTAACTTTTTCAGTATTTTAAGTTTCAATGAGATCCACCCTGTCATGCCTGGTTTGTAGTGTTAGCCCTGTGGCCTTCAACCATTCCCGATACAAAATATGAATTGGCTCTGGAATGATTTTTGTTGCCCAGTGTTGCACCTTCTCCAAAGCAGCTATGTCCTTCTGGAAATAAGGTTTCCATGCTTGGATACTGTAATCCAAATGGGGCCGTACCAGAGATTTATACAGTTGAACCATTACCATTACCTTCCTTTCCTTATAGTCAAAAGTATCCTTGATTATCTCAAGAGTTTGGTTGGCTTTTCTGGCTGCAGCTCCTACCTGTTGTGCAACTTTTAATGAGTGGTGGATTTTGACTCCCAGGTCCTTTTCTTCATCAGTCTGCTGCAATGTAATGTTATTAATTTGGCAGCTGTGGCATGGGTTGTTATGCCCCACATGCAGGGTCTTGCATTTGTCAATATTAAAAAGCATTTGCCAATCTTCTGACCATTTGTGGAGTTCATGTAGATCTCTCTGCAAGTCTTCAACAACATCATTTCCCATTTTACAATGAATCTGTGTCGTGTGCAGTTTTGGTGCTGTAGTTCGTAATATTCTATGTTATTGATGTACAGTATGTGACAAAAAGGGTAGGTCCCAAAATGGCCCCTTCTTGATTATCTTGAGGTTATCTTGAGATGATTTCGGGGCTTTAGTGTCCCCGCGGCCCGGTCCTCGACCAGGCCTCGACCAGGCCTCCACCCCAGGAAGCAGCCCGTGACAGCTGACTAACACCCAGTTACCTATTTTACTGCTAGGTAACAGGGGCATAGGGTGAAAGAAACTCTGCCCATTGTTTATCGCCGGCACCCGGGATTGAACCCAGGACCACAGGATCACAAGTCCAGCGTGCTGTCCACTCGGCCAGCCGGCTTTTCCTTGTGGCACCCCACTTATCACAGTTCTCAATTCAGATTCATTTCCATTTAGATTTATTTAGCATTTAGGATTCATTTCCTTTGTTTTCTTTCCTTCAACCATTCTTTTATCCATTCTAATATTTTACCATTTATTCCTTGGGCCTGTAATTTCCTTGTCAGTCTTTCATGTGGTACCTTATTTTAAGCTTTTGCAAAATCCATGTATACTACATCCACTGGAAGGCCCTCGTCAGAGTGGCTGGTTACCATTTCCAAAAATGTGAGCAGGTTTGTAAGGCAGGATCTGCTTTTAACAAATCCATGTTGTGTTGATTGTACAAGGTTGTTCACTGAAAGATTCCCTCCCTGAGGATTCTCTCCACGAGCTTGCAGATGCGCGATGTCAAGCTGATCGACCAGCAGTTTTCTGTTGAGCTCTACCTTTCTTTTTAAAAAAAATGGTGGATAACATTTGCATATTTCTAATTTGGGGGGGGGGACTACCCCTTGGTCCAGAGATTTTGTGAAAAGTAGTTTCAGTGGTAGGCATAGTTCTTCTGCCAGTTCCTTTAAGTCTTTGGATTGGATTCCATCCACACCTGGGGCTTTCGAGTCTTAGTTTGTCAATGTTCTTTCTAATTATTTCACACGCTATGGATATTTCCCTAAATTAAATCTCCTCCCCTTCTTCAAACATTTGTGTGGTTGTTGGGATGTCATCCAACCTTTCGAGTGTGAACACTAACATAAAATAATCATTACTGTGTTTGCTGCCATTTTATCATCCATTATAGCTTGATTAGTCTCGTCTGTTAATAGTTGGACCCTTAAGAGTCCTTTGTTTTTGTTTTGCCTCTTATATAGGCATAGAATGATTTTGGATCTTTGTTTTGGGCAAGTTTTCTTTCATAGTTTCTTTTGGCTGCTCTGATTTTCTGAGTGGTCACGTTTAGTGCCCTTTTGTATAATTCATAATCAATGATGTCCATTGTGGACTTAAACGGTCTTCAGAGGTTTCTCTTTGTTACCAATGCTCGTTTTACGACTTGTGTCATCCATCAAGTACGGGTACAGTAGTTTTGTTTTTTCTTCTTTTCGGTACATTTTTTGAAAGAGTATCGTGATGACCCTCTTGACATTTTGCCATGCTGCTTTCGCACCATGTTCACACATCAGCTCCCTCTAGGAGATTATTTGCAGTTCTTTTCTCTCTATTCCTTTATAGTCACCTCGCTGGTAATCTAGAAATTCTTCATCGTTGACCTTATCTTGAGGTTACCTTTAGGTGCTTCCAGGGCTTAGCATCCCCGCGGCCCAGTTGTCGACCAGGCCTCCTCGTTGCTGGACTAGTCAACCAGGCTATTGGACGCGGCTGCTCACAGCCTGACGTACGAGTCACAGCCTGGATGATCAGGTATCCTTTGGAGGCGTTTGTCACGTTATCTCTTGAACACTGAGGGGTTGGCCAGTTATGCCCCTTATGCATAGTGGAAGCGTGTTGAACAGTCTCGGGCCTCTGATGTTGATAGTTCTCTCTTGAACACTGTGAGGGGTCGGCCAGTTATGTCTGTTATGTGTAGTGGAAGTGTGTAAATCTATATGTTGGTTTCTATATTCATAGTCCATCTTAAAATATGGTGGTCGCATGACAGGGTTAACTTTATCCCCACAAAAATTTTATCAATCATACCATCTTCTTGGCTTGGACACACATGGATACATACATAGCTTGGCCGTGTTTACAAAACAATACTAGAGAGAAGTGGAATTTCAAGATTGGCCAAAAAATAACCTGTAATCAGTAACAGGAGAATTATCACCAGTATGCATCAATTGAAATATAAGTAAATTTATACAGTACATATTTACTACTACTCTTAAGCCAATAAATATATAAATATTTGATGATAATTGTTTGCAATTTAATTTTTTTTTGTATTTCATTTGAATGACTTTAAAAATTAAGCAAATCTAAATGTCCCTTCAACTGATAAGGATGCATGCACAAATGAAAACATCAAATGGAGCAATGAGGCGACTCGAATCAATGATCAGCATTGTGTAACCTATATCACCATAGTCAGGGGAGTTATGGTTATAGTAGTAGTATATAGGCATAGTAGTAGTAGGCATAGTCAACATAGTTATGGTGCATGGCTGGGAGTACCCTAATCGCAGGTTTGAGTCACCTCGTTGCTCCAATTTATTTTCTCATTTATATATATCATGTTAAATGTGGTTTCTCTATCATTATATATTGTTAGTGTAGCCTGAAGCTGGACATACGTGTGACAAACGTCACAGATGGCGATTGTTGGGCGATTCAAGTAAATTTACATTTAGGAAGCATTATATAAAATTTAGGTCACACAAAATAAACCCCCCAAATACATATAGGTGCATACATGCATGGGTATGCACACATGCACAAAAGTGTCAGACAGAACTAAAGTATAACTAATCACATACTTCCAAAATTTTATATTTTACCTACATTATTTTGCCTTTTCGGGGAGAGAGTGCAAGAAGCAGGTCTGGTGGTGCCGCTGGAGCGCCAATGAATGTCACTACAGGAGCGGTCACAGGGGCTGATAGGAGTGTGTCCAGGGAAGGGAGAGATGCTCCCAGTGTTGGAAGATATACTACTTCCCCGAGATGACATGGACCGATGATTGACCAAGCCGATGAAGTTGGAGGAGACCCTGGAGGGGCTGTTGCTGTTGGAGTGGATGTTGTTGCTATTGGAGGGGCAGGCCCTGGTGGAGGGTGAGAGAGAGGTACTACTGGGCCACACGTTCAGTTTGTTGGAGGACATCTTCGAAACTGAGAAGGGCGACTGGGTGGAGAAGAGATTGAGATCATTGGTATATGGCGTTGAAGGCGTTGGAGGCTTCAACACACCTGTAGCAAGAGGGTCGCACGGGGGTGCCTTCTCCTCCACAGCTTCTTTTCCCTTGATATCTTCTGTCGAGGCAAGAATTTACAAGTGTCCAAGGCAGTAATAATTTGGACAATCGAGCGGTGCTTCAAAAATTGGCATTTCTTAGGTCCATGTTCTTTGTAATATATTGAGTCATGCTATACTCACTTTGCTGTGACACCTATCCACTGATCCAGGAGGTACTCACCCAATTGTATATAAGGAGGTACTCACCCAATTGTATATAGGACACCATTGGAGATCTACCATACTGGCCAACCTCCATGTAGACTGGCTGCTCATACATCTCTCCGCTCTCCTGCCGAGAATCAAGTTTAAAACCTGACGAGCAAGCTCATATCAGGAGACAAGAATGAGGGCATCATATTAATACAAGTGTAGCAGGAGACAAGGCACAAAATATGCCTTTCGCAAAAATGTATTGAACACGTGAACATTATAACACACACACACACACACACACATAGGTTAGGTAAGGAAATTCAACAGGAGAAACGGCTTTTGTCAGCACAGATGGAGGAAGTTACGCAGGGAATAGAACAGTGCAAGAAGGATATGCAACTCACCTATGCACAAGTGGCCAAGGAGAAGGAAAAAATTGAAGAAGCACTAAAGAAAGCCAAACACTGCAGCAACCAAGATAAAACAAACATTAGGCTGGAAGTGAGAAAGGAATTGGCATCTAATCCGAAGTTGGTGCAAAACTCAGTTGATCGGATTAAGTCCCTGATAATTTTTGGTTGCAAAGAAAAGGAGACAACATCTAGGTCAGAAAGAGCTGTAGAAGAAGCGAAAGTAGTAGATAAAATTGTTGGCCTCATAGAAGGTCTTACTACCATAGAGAATGTGTGCGATTACAGGAGAATAGGCAGATACGTAAGAGGAAAAGATCGACCTTTGAAGATCACCCTAAACGGTGCCAAACAGATGGAAGAAGTACTAAGGAATGCTAGAAAATTACAAAGTGATGAGGATGGGAAAGTGTGGTCGTTAAGACGAAATCTTTGAAAAGAAGACAGAGAAGCTGAAACTGAACCTCGCTGAGGCAAAACGTTTAAATGAAAGCAGGAATGAAGAAGAAATCAATTTTTTTTTCTACAAAGTGTTAGGGGTAGGCAGACCAGTAAAGTGGTACATAAAGGCAAACCAACAATATCGTTAGAGTGAGGGGGAGTGAAGAATAAGGAGAGGGGGAACAAGTTCCTGAAGATTGCATACACCAACATAGATGGAGTGAGATCGAAGATACTGGAGTTAAGTGATGTAATACAGCAGCAGACACCAGACATTGTTGCACTCACGGAGACAAAACTTGAAGATGTTATTTTAAATGAGGTCATATTCCCAAGGGGCTACTCAATTTGGAGACAGGACAGAAAAATTAGGAAAGGCAGTGGCGTTGCTGTGCTGGTGAAAGAACACCTAAAGGTGAAGGAAATAATGACTGCCAATCCACAAGAAGTTGACATAATAGCACTAGAGATCTGCCATGAGGAGGATAACCTAATGATTATAAATGCATATAGTCCACCACCAAGCAGCACATGGTCAAAGGAGGAGCTAGATAGTAAACGAGAAGGTCTTATAACAATAATGAGAGAGATTATAATTGATTATAGAGATTATATAGAGATTATAAGAGAGATTATATATAGAGATTATAATGAGATTAATGCGAGAGCGGATAACGATAGATCACGACTGTTGATAGTCGGCGATTTCAACTTGAAATCCATAGACTGGGAAACATATGAAGCTAAAACAGAAGATTTTTGGACCTGTAGATTTGTAGACCTCATCCTGGAAACATTCTTGTATTAACATGTTAAACAAGCTACGAGGATGAGGGAAGGGGAACGTTCCCTCCATGCTAGATTTTATATTTACCAGAAAGGAGGAAGAGATTTGACATTCAGTACCTTCCTCCCTTGGGTAAAAGTGACCATGTCTTTTTGGGAATAAATTATGCAATGCGTTATAATCTGGAAGAAAATAAGGAGGTTGAAGCAGTTGAAAAACCTGACTTCAGGAGAGGACATTATGGCAACCTTAGAAATTTTTTTTGTGAGTATAATTGGACAGACTTGTTGCTAGGCAAGGAAGTGAATGAGATGTATGTCAAGTTTTGTGAAATATATGATGAAGGTACAAAAAAAATTATACCAAAACAGAGATGCAGAACTAGGAAACAGGATTGATTCAATAGAAATTGTGAGAGGGCCAGAGACCAAGACACAAAAATGGAATCAATACAGGAAGAGGCCAAACTCCCAAACATACCAGCGATAGAAAGATGCGAGAAACAACTACACGGCAGTGAGGAGAGGCGGAAAGAAATTTTTAAAAAGGGATTGCAGACAAAAGTAAAACAGAACCAGGTCTATTCTATAAATTCATAAACAACAAATTGCAGGTAAAGGATAATATTCAGAGGTTGAAAATGGGAAATAGATTCACGGAAAATTTAAAGGAAATGTGTGAAACATTAAACGAAAAGTTCCAAAGTGTGTTTGTACAAAATGAAATCTTCAGGGAACCAGATACAATAAGATTTCCAGAGAACAACAGAGCACATAGAGGTGTCTAGAGACGGTGGAAAAAATGCTCAAGAAGCTAAGTAAGAACAAAGCAGTTGGTCCAGATGGAGTTTCACCATGGGTTTTGAGAGAATGTGCACCCGAGCTCAGCATTCCTCTTCAACTGATTTTTCAGGCATCCCTGTTTACAGGAGTTGTAGCTGATGTGTGGAAAAAGGCTAACATAGTTCCAATCTACAAAAGTGGAAGCAGGGAAGACCCCCTTAATTATAGACCGGTATCATTGACAAGTGTAATAGTCAAAATATTGGAAAAAATAATTAAATCTAAATGGGTAGAACACCTGGAAAGAAATGATATAATATCAGACAGACAGTATGGTTTTCGATCTGGAAGATCCTGTGTATTGAATTTACTCAGTTTCTATGATCGAGCAACAGAGATATTACAGGAAAGAGATGGTTGGGTTGACTGCATCTATCTGGACCTAATAAAGGCTTTCGACAGAGTTCCACATAAGAGGTTGTTCTGGAAACTGGAAAATATTGGAGGAGTGACAGGTATGCTTCTAACATGGATGAAAATTTTTCTGACTGATAGAAAAATGAGGGCTGTGATCAGAGGCAATGTATCAGACTGGAGAAATGTCACAAGTGGAGTACCACAGGGTTCAGTTCTTACACCAGTGATGTTTATTGTCTACATAAATGATCTACCAGTTGGTATACAGAATTATATGAACATGTTTGCTGATGATGCTAAGATAATAGGAAGGATAAGAAACTTAGATGATTGTCATGCCCTTCAAGAAGACCTGGACAAAATAAGTACATGGAGCGCCACTTGGCAATGGAATTTAATGTTAATAAATGCCATGTTATGGAATGTGGAATAGGAGAACAGAGACCCCACACAACCTATATATTAAGTGAGAAATCTTTAAAGAATTCTGATAAAGAAAGAGATCTAGGGGTGGTTCTAGATAGAAAACTATCACCTGAGGACCATAAAGAATATTGTGCAAGGAGCCTATGCCACGCTTTCTAACTTCAGAATTGCTTTTAAATACATGGATGGCGATATACTAAAGAAATTGTTCACGACTTTTGTTAGGCAAAAGCTTGAATATGCAGCAGTTGTGTGGTGCCCATATCTTAAGAAGCACATCAACAAACTGGAAAAGGTGCAAAGACATGCTACTAAGTGGCTCCCAGAACTGAAGGGCAAGAGCTACGAGGAGAGGTTAGAGGCATTAAATATGCCAAAACTAGAAGACACAAGAAAAAGAGGCGATATCTTGAGATCTTGAGGTTATCTTGAGATGATTTCGGGGCTTTAGTGTCCCCGCGGCCCGGTCCTTGACCAGGCCTCCACCCCCAGGAAGCAGCCCGTGACAGCTGACTAACACCCAGGTACCTATTTTACTGCTAGGTAACAGGGGCATAGGGTGAAAGAAACTCTGCCCATTGTTTCTCGCCGGCGCCTGGGATCGAACCCAGGACCACAGGATCACAAGTCCAGCGTGCTGTCCACTCGGCCGACCGGCTGTATGTAGTGATATGATCACTACATACAAAATAGTAACGGGAATTGATAAAACGATAGGGAAGATTTCCCGAGACTTGGAACTTTAAGAACAAGAGGTCATAGATATAAACTAGCTAAACACAGATGCCGAAGAAATATAAGAAAATTCACTCTCGCAAACAGAGTGGGAGACGGTTGGAACAAGTTAGGGGAGAAGGTGGTTGAGGCCAAGACCGTCAGTAGTTTCAAAGCGTTATATGACAGAGTGCAAGGAAGACGGGACACCACGAGCATAGCTCTCATCCTGTAACTACACTTAGGTAATTTTACACACACACACACACACACACACACATTCATTTTGATTGAAGCATTGTTACAAATAATACTTGACTTAATTCGATGTATTTAATAGTATTTGTGCAAGCATGAATGGGAAGTCAGAAATCTGTTTACATGCATGCGCTGTTACCCAAGACACGTTTACCTGCACGTGCTGTTACCCAAGACATGTTGTATACCTGCACGTGATAACGACTGATCACTGGAAGGTCTTTGTGACGTGTGCATGGAGGAGGGGCAGAGGTGGGAAGGGGTGGGGGAATGGGAATGGGGTACTGGGACTGGCGCATGGGTACACTAGTGGTGTGAGTTACATTGTCCCCTCTCGGCCACCGAGTACCCGCACCCAAACCTCTGCCCATGCCCACTGGCTGCTGCCTGAACTGTGATTCTGTCCTCTGCGAGGTGCTGATGCTGGTCATCATCGTCGTCAGAGCCACTGTGGAGGGAGTGACAGTAAGCCCAGACAGAGAAAACCAATGGTATAAACTTTAATTCTTTCTACCCCAACTCTTGTTTTCCCCTTTTTTTCTGCATGCAAACCAGGCATGACAGGGCAGATCTCATTGAAACTTAAGATACTAAATTTGTAGGAAGTTGATATGGACAATTTCTTCATAAGGTCAGATGGAACTCAAAGAAGGAGCAATGGCTTCAAGCTCAACAAACCACAATGTAGGACTGAGAACAGGAGATGCTTTTTCACACAGGGTTATAAACCCATGGAAGCCCTCTTCCTACCAACCAAAACTGTAAATGCAATAACTTAAATTGTAAAATCCAACTGGAAAATATCTAGGCAAATGGGTGGGGGACCATTGACAAGCCAACAGCTTCCTGTCCCTGTCAAGGCCACTAGTGTGTTAGTGGCCTTAAGCCGAGTTCAGGTAAATTCTTCCAAAATCCATTTTCCATCTTGCCTCCCACCCCCTCTCTCCCTTCCACCTCTTCCAGAGCAATAAAGACATTGAACACGTGTTCACATAACTCTGCACAAGCAAGGGTGCTTATTCAATATATACATGTATACACAAAACTGATCAGGAGAAGTTAGGGTAAATTAATTAATTTTTTATTTGCCTCTGACCCCTCTTTCCTTTAACCCTTCCTCCCTCACCTTCATGACTGGCAGGTTGCTGATGGGCCAGCCGTTTCTGCATCTCCTTCCTCTGATTGCTCCGTTGACGGCCGAGTCTGCTTCGTCTGCAGCTGTTGAGAGTACAGGAACATAAATATTTGGGAAGGGTAAATGAATCTTACAATAGTTGCCCTTGAAATTGGTTTAGCATTTGTTAGAATATTATCCCTGACCGCCCGTGCCATCTGTTTACACTGTACACTGAATGAAGTTGTTGATTTTATAGACATGTTTGCATCTACTGTTTTACACATGTACCTAGTTCTACTGCCAATGTGTATATGGCATTTTTGTTTTGTCTTTCTTCTAGAATTTGTTAATGCTCTCATTCCTTTATTTCAGTTTTTCAATAAACTAGAGACATTTGCCAATAATGTGTACACTGCAGACATTCTACTCTGTGTGTGTGTGTGTCAGATGTCAGACTCTGGGATCAAATTCTCCCTGATATGAGATCTCTTCACTTCAATCCTATATTGCTAATGAGGTCATTCAAGTCAAAGGTCTATGACATTTCGTTAATTGCCATATTTTCTAAATCAAATGTGAATGGATGTAACCACTACCATTTTCCATTCAAATGCATTTGCTGCCTTAATAATACAAAATATATTCTACATCATGTGGATCATGGAGATTCCTTGCTTCCATGCATTCTCTCTCATTCTGTTGCCGCTTAATCTAAACATTGTCAACTACTTTGATATGTATGAGAATTTTGCAAGTCTTAGTCATGTCTTCCTATGGGTTTTATTTTCTTGGATTCAGTTTCTTAGTAGCTCGGCTGTATTAGAATACAGCTCTGCTACGAGCTAGAACAAAACTTGGCTGTGTTTTGGAAGTAGTAAATTAAAAAAAAATAATTAAATTATATTTATTAGAATTAAAAAATTATTATATTAAATTTTTTATTTCGGGAAAAGTACATACATAGTTGAGTTACAAACGTAATGTTGGATTTAAAGAGAGCTAGTACATACAATACCTAAAGCAACTAATACGCATAGCGTTTCAGGCATTGTAAGAAACATTTGGAGATAATTTTCTTTTGGGTATTTTGAGGTTTGGTCACCATGCAGGCAAGAAATACCCTAACAGATTGACAAACGTTGCCAATAATGTTCAGAAAACATTCTTGCCTCGGTTCCTGGAAATTCTTCATATATTTGTCAGCTTGGTATACAGTGCTGAAGTGGTTGTGCTTATTGTACCTTTAGTGATAAGACTGGCATCATGTCTACTCTCAAATCCCTTTCCCCTTATGGGTAGGTTCCTTCCTTAATTCATTTTGTATTGTCATTATGGCCTGTAATCACCCATTTTCATTCATATGAACTTGTTTGGTTCAAATTGATGAGATTTTTTTTTTGTTTAAGTCCAATAACCATTTTTCCAATAATACCAGTCTTTCTTGAGCAATATTCATTTCTGGTTAATTCTCATTGTTAGCAAGTAATACAAAGTTGATAAGAAAGACCCCAACTCCAGTTATTTGACCATGTTATTTACATACACAACGTCTTGTTCTTACATTCATCTTTACACTGCCTCCCACCAAAATTTTCTGGCATCTGGTTTTATTTTTATTTTGTTTTTTAATTAAACTAAGTAGTTTTATCGTTCTCTTTTGCTTTTCTGCCAACTTGGTACCCTTTGAGGAACATAGCATCTATTAGGGTACTGTCATTTACATATATGGGTTGAGTTTTTTCTTTGCTCTCTTTAAATCTGACTTTATTAGAAATTCAATCTGTATTTATATATCAGATTTTTACGCTCTCTATGGTTACTTTATAATCCTTGGCCATCCAGTCCACTCAGGTCATGAATGAAGCCAAGGAAGAGAAGTCCTCGTATTTATCTTAGTTTCATGCAACTAATTAACCTATTCATTCTGATTTCACCTTGAACCATGCGTTCCCAACTCAATACTTACTAACTCACTCATTACAGCTCTCAGTAAATCTCTTCAGCCATGACTTTAATAATAATAATAATAATAATAATAATAATAATAATAATTAATATTAATTCATTGTGTTTGGAGACAGTTCAACCAAATCATTCCTGGCTGCATCATCAATTGAAAAGGAAACTTTTTTTTGTGATGCATCCTGGGGAAGGTCAGTAGTTTGATACGTACAAGCCAGAGTGCAGGCTACTTTTCCTCCACAGTGGGAATTATCATTCACAGTTGGGTACCAGAACAGGCAACTAACTAAACTATTTGGCCACTATCTCAGTGCACATTGTTTTTTTAATTATTCCACATTGCACCTAAATTATCATACATTATATTCAGCACATACAATATTACTAAATTTGACATACATAAATTTTGGATTATACATCTAGTTATATATTATATCCAAATTATACTTTACTCTTAATTATGCCACATTATAATTATATACCCATTAAACTAATCTAATCACTTTGGCCCATTTTGAAATCTATGCAACTAAAACCAATTACAATGTGATGTGAAACTGGAACCGGTTACATAATACGATGAGAGGCTGGACACTCACATATAACAAATCAAGAAGATGGCGAGAAGGACAAGCACCACTGCCAGCACAACAGCCACCACCTCCACCGTCTTCAAGCGCGAGGGCGACCAGTCTGGGGACGGCAGGCCAGGGGCCGAGTTAGCACGGAGTGAGGATGGCCCCAGAGGAGGGTAGACAAACATCCAGAAATGGAGAAAGGAACAGATAGAGACCTTGACATGTTGGTGGATAGTCAAACACATTAACCCCAACAACTGCTGACTATACTGCATCACAAACATTGCATAAAACTCAAAACCCAGAAAATCTCAAGATATAAAACTACAGTACTGTAATGGGGGAGGGGAAAATCTGCTCTAGCACCACCCTCTGTCCATCTCCAAAATGTTCTAATTCCCATAGAATACCACTACTTTGAAAAAATATGAGGCAAGATATAACCCCTCAAATCCCTGATGTACCTAAATTACAGGAAGGGGGAATAGGGTGTTGAAAAACCTCCCTGGTTTAGGCTAAAGTCTACTTTGAGCCTAGACATCCTAAATAACAGTTAACGGGCATTGTTGGGTGAACCTGACTGACGTTAAATACCGTTTAGTGTATAACATTAGTGTTTTTAACCAACGGTGCCCAAAGGGACAAAGCCAACACTCGGAGGGATCTTCAATATTATGGTTTTTTTAATTTAACTTAAGCACTGGAATTTCGATGCTCGCTCCACATCTAAAACTGCCCTCAACTTACCAAATTCGTTGGCAGTGACGAGAACCCTGAACCCGCTCAGTCTGCCAAAGGGTCGAGGGTAGAAGACTCCTGAGGTATACCTGGGGATGAAGAAAACACTGGCGGTATACTTGGGATAAAAGACAATTGGCCTGGTTGGTAGAGCAACAACTTTGCTTCATGCCGGGTCATTATTTGATCCCTCATGGTTCAAGTGGTTGGCTTCCCAGTGCTGTATAGTCATAGTAGCTTTGGCCTTTCCCTCGATAATTACTAATTAACGTGTATAAAAAAAAAAGCCAACAAAACTAAACGAGTGGGAGGATGCCAGCATCATAAACAGAATATCCCGATAACTGGTTTGGAAACCAACTTCCTAGACCACCTCATTGTCTCAATATCCACAGAGGCACTTGCTGTTGAAGGCTTCCAGTGTGTGGCATACTGCCACTGTGTCACGTACTCAGTGAAGCATCACAGTCATCATGGCAAAAAAGGGGTCACCAGGTGGTAGGCATCTGGGCTTCATATGGGTGTCACCTATATTTAAGTAGGTGTAAATATACCTGGAAAACTTAGGCATATCTCGCAATCGACTTGAGAATGGTCCAGGACGGACCGAAACGTTGTCGTCCCTTCACCTTCTAGTGTATGGTCTGGTCAACATACCTCAGCTACGTTATTGTGACTCATCATCTGCATACCTGGAAAAGATCAAGACAAAGGGGGAAGGGACCTTCGACAAGGTGCCAGTTTACTGTCCTCGTCAAGGCCACTAGGGTTAATGGCCCTTGGGTAAATCAGGTATTCAGACTGTTAGCTAGTAGTTTCTATTACCTATGATCAGATCCCTAAACTTGTTCGTAGTAAACTTGAGGATGACTGTGTACTGAGAGCAACACACTTGAGTGTGACATCGTGTGGCACTTACTTGAGGATGACAGCATGGGCGTGTACGTTGAGCGGTGAGGGTAGAGCTCCTCCACACATACTGACAACCGTCATTGTGACAGGCCCATCCTCCTCCTCCACCACTTTCGCCACCTCCAGCATTCCTCTCGTGCACTGACCTGTGGGGTGAGGGAGGCTGAATGACCTGAAGATGTCACCACAATCACCATGGCATTAGGAAAGACCAGGTATAGTGACCAGCAAGGCTGGGGAAATGGGACAGGAACTGGCAGAAGAAAATAGGACGGCAAATAATTCTGGCATGAAGGAACAGTGTGGTTATCTGGACTCTGCACATTTGTCTGATAATTACTTTATTAATATACATACAAGAAGATACATTGTGTTTATGAGGGTACATAGCATTGATGATTTTACATTCTTGTAAAGCCAATAACACGCGTAGTGTTTCGAACAGGTCCTTAATCTAACAAATTGAAGTAGATACTTTGTAGCAAAATTGAAATATGTTAAAAGGTACATTGTAAGAAACTTAAGAAGATTAGTAGGTACAATACATTGTAGCATAATTTAAGGATTATTTCTAGGTACATTGTGGTAAAATTTGCATTTAACATAACCTAAGTAACCAACTTCAGTAATTCAGTAAAAGGAATGGCTGAGAGAATTAGATCTCACAGCTGGGAAAGAATGATAGAGATGCCATGATCACAACATTAAAATTTTTTAGACACAGGCAGGGTACACAAATGCAAAATTATCATGAACAGTGGTAGAACAAAAGTAGAACTAGTCTAATAAACCTTTCCACATCCACACCTACCTTCCCCCCCCCCCCCACACACACACACCCTCCCCACTCACCTTCACTGTCAAGGTTAGGGAGTCTGAAGTTAGTGAAGTTGATAGTGATGGTGGCAAGAGTGGGAGCCTGGAGCCTCCACACACACAGAACATCATCACTGTAGCTCGGGTACTCTGGGCTCGTTATCACCTTCGTCACCCCCTCCGTCAGATCCAGCTTCTGCATCAACAGCATCACAACATATGGAAGCAGACATTAGCAGCGGTCGAAACCAACCATCATCAATATTTTCAAGTTGCATCTACATATGCAGCAGGAAACATTAACGAGGAAGTAAAAGGGTGACGGCCCCACCCTCCACCAGCAGAAAGGGGACAACACAATTATGGAAACAAAATATCCTTTGAAGCAAGAAAGATGAACACTTTGTAGCTTTAGGTATTGTATGTACTAGCTCTTTATAAGTCCGACATTATGTTTGTATCTCATCTATGTATGTACTTTTACCCGAAAAAAAAATTGAAATTTGAATTTGAAAAGACAATTTCAACTTGTACAGATTGCAAGAAGCTCACTATGGCAGGGATTCTTCATATACACAAGCAGATATTAATGTCAAACCCCATAAAGTTGAGGCATACTTGTCGATTAGTATTAAGAGGCTGGACCCGAGAGCTGGAGATCATCTGCGTACAAAGACCAAATACAGTGTTTAAAAAAAGTAAAAATGCAAACACAGCTTAACATTCACACTCACCCTAGAGCAGGTGTCACACACATACACACTAGCCCCAAACACTCACCCTAGAGCAGGTGTCTCACACACTAGCCCCAAACACTCACCCTAGAGCAAGCGTCACACACACTAGCCCCAAACACTCACCCTAGAGCAGGTGTCACACACTAGGCCCAAACACTCACCCTAGAGCAGGTGTCACACACTAGCCCCAAACACTCACCCTAGAGCAGGTGTCACACACACAGGGGCCTCGTAGCCTGGTGGATAGACAGGGGCCTCGTAGCCTGGTGGATAGACAGGGGCCTCGTAGCCTGGTGGATAGACAGGGGCCTCGTAGCCTGGTGGATAGCGCGCAGGAATCTTAATTCTGTGGCGCGGGTTCGATTCCCGCACGAGGCAGAAACAAATGGGCAAAGTTTCTTTCACCCTAAGTGCCCCTGTTACCTAGCAGTAAATAGGTACCTGGGAGTTAGTCAGCTGTCACGGGCTGCTTCCTGGGGTGTGTGTGTGTGTGTGTGTGTGTGTGTGGTGTGGGAGAAAAAAAAAAAAAAAAAAAAAAAAAAAAAAAAGTAGTTAGTAAACAGTTGATTGACAGTTGAGAGGCGGGCCGAAAGAGCAAAGCTCATCCCCCGCAAAAACACAACTAGTAAACACACACACACACCCTAAAACAAGTGTCACACACACACTAGCCCCAAACACTCACCCTAGAGCAGGTGTCACACACACTAGCCCCAAACACTCACCCTAGAGCAGGTGTCACACACTAGGCCCAAACACTCACCCTAGAGCAGGTGTCTCACACACTAGGCCCAAACACTCACCCTAGAGCAGGTGTCACACACTAGGCCCATCAAGAACTCGCACTTGGCCTTCTTGGCCTGCAGAGGAAGACAGTGGGTGATAAGGGCCTCGTAGCCAAGACACTCCACCATCCAGCGGCTGCTCTCAACACCCTCCTCCTTCTTCACCTTATATATCCTGGGGGCGAGGGTGACAAGGGTGAACCACAGTGTAAACATTGAGAAATAAAGAACTCAAAATAGTTAAAATATCTGGTCTGGATGACGTTCTCAATACAGAGAATGACAGCTGCTCTTGCTAAACAGATTACAGAACCTAATTATGATTAGGTAATGGATTAAATATTTTGTAACTATCAAAAAATATTTGTAACGATAGTGGTTTAAATCATTTATAATGATTTAATTAAGTAACTATGGATAATTGTGACCCGTCAAGGAGGAGGAGGAGGAGGAGGCAGAGACGCAGGAGGAGGAGGAGGAGGCAGAGACGCAGGAGGAGGAGGAGGAGGCAGAGACGCAGGAGGAGGAGGAGGCAGAGACGCAGGAGGAGGAGGAGGCAGAGACGCAGGAGGGAGGCAGAGACGTCACCAGTAGCGACACCGTCCGGCTAGGAGGGGCCGAGCCGTTGTCCCTGTACAAAGACACTCCTGTGTGCACTTATTGGTTTTCAGACCTTTTAATGTGACGTATTCTCTACGCCTTGAGTGTAGGTGTTGGGGGTAGTGGGGGGCGAGTGTTGGTAAGGGGGGGGGGTGGGGGGCGAGTGTTGGTAAGGGTGGGGGGCGAGTGTTGGTAAGGAGGGGTGGGGGGGTGTTTACCCCCGTGTGTGAAAGTTTATAAGACTCGCCACTTGACTCGTATAGACGACGCAGCGCAATGAGAGAGAGATGTGATCATGCTCTTGAGAATGTCTGCCCGCTGCAGACTAACATCTGAGGCCTCCCTTGTGTCACGGGAAGATCCAGGTGAAATATGGGAAGACGGTCCCTAACGAGAACTGCCATGGGTCTCCTTAGCACAGTAGTCTACGTCGTCAACTCTCGATTAAGGAACCCGAATTCAATCCCCCCGGACAGGAGAGAGAGAGAGAGTACATTTCTTTAAGACTGTTGCCTCTGTTTACCTAGCAATAAAATAGGTACTCTGGACGTAGGCAACTATTATTAGATGCCTTAATGTCATAATTCTAAGACTTCCAATTATTAAGTATAATTATATGGGAATTTTAGTGGAGAAAGTAAGGGCAAACGCCATGGAAAGGGCAGCTTGCGGACAACACCCCAGAGGTAAGGAAGTTCTGGATCTGGGGATACCTCTCGGGCTGGAACCTGAAGATAAAGATGGAAGGAACATATCTGAGTGGCCAGAGGTCACGAGCAGAGCGCCACAGGACTGGATTGTACCAGAGTCCAGGACTCTGCACTGGAACTCATTCTGTTCATGTGGGTCAACAAATCCACAAGGGCCGTGACGAGTATTCGAACTAGATTTATTCCTTCAAGGAGTGCCGGACCAACCGGGCTGTGGTGGGTATGTGGGCCTGCGGGCCGCTCCAAGCAACAGCCTGGTGGACCAAACTCTCACAAGTCAAGCCTGGCCTCGGGCCGGGCTTGGGCAGTAGAACAACTCCCAGAACCCCATCAACCAGGTATATGTGGGCCTGCGGGCCGCTCCAAGCAACAGCCTGGTGGACCAAACTCTCACAAGTCAAGCCTGGCCTCGGGCCGGGCTTGGGCAGTAGAACTCCCAGAACCCCATCAACCAGGTATCAACCAGGTATACCCAACATATACTTCGTGTCAAGCCTGCTAAAATCGAAACCTTTTTTTTTCCAACTAGGTTGATCCAAAACTAATGATCAGAAATACGAGGATCGATAGACTTAGAAAGTGACCTGATCACAATATACAAGATACTCAATAAAATACCGATAACATGCACATTTGGCATACAGTGCTTTTCGTAAGGCAAAGTTATACAAATTATTTAATGAACAATAATGTCTAACGTTGTCAATGATGCAATATAAACCAAAATTATTGGCTGACCTCAGGGGCTAAATTTAGAATTCTAAATCTTCCCTGCTACATGAATAGTCAACCCCGAGGCGAACTGTGGGCCGAGCAATAACTTAAGAATTATACCTTCTGAATACAGAACCTGGATCCAGCCCGTTCTTCGGGTCAACCCCGACCGTCCACAAGTGGTTGGGCACCACTCCTCACCCCCCGTCTCATCCCAAATCCTTATCCTGACCCCTTCCTAGTATTATATAGTCGTAATGGCTGAACATAGAATCCCTTCCAGGGGATTGTCAGGGGAGGGCAGATCACTATACCTTGGGTTCTTTGTCTCCCATGTTCTACCTCTTCACAAAGCTATATATAAACATTGTCCAGGGAAATACAATAGTAAACAGATGGAATACATTAGGGGAGAAAACTATATATATGGAGTCAAATACGACTCAAAAACACGCAGCACCAAGGGCTGCCGCGCTGTTTCAGGCCTCACTGACTATCCTACACCGCTCTCCATGCAATAAAGATGGTTTAAGAAGATGGTTGATGGTTTCGCCTTCTTTTTAAAGAAGGCGAAACGAGAATTTGTAAAGGTCATGTGAAGGAGGCCGGGCACTCGCCTATAGAACTTCGAGTGTTGATTTATGGAACAAATTTCTGGATAACATGTTAAACATAGGATCGTTTGTTTCAAGCGTAGGTTAGAGATATAGATATATATATATATATATATATATATATATATATATATATATATATATATATATATATATATATATATATATATATATATATATATATATATATATATGAAGGAGTTTGGATGGATATAGATACGAGCTGCCTCGTATGGACCAACAGCAGCTGCCTCGTATGGACCAACAGCAGCTGCCTCGTATGGACCAACAGCAGCTGCCTCGTATGGACCAACAGCAGCTGCCTCGTATGGACCAACAGCAGCTGCCTCGTATGGACCAACAGCAGCTGCCTCGTATGGACCAACAGCAGCTGCCTCGTATGGACCAACAGCAGCTGCCTCGTATGGACCAACAGCAGCTGCCTCGTATGGACCAACAGCAGCTGCCTCGTATGGACCAACAGCAGCTGCCTCGTATGGACCAACAGCAGCTGCCTCGTATGGACCAACAGCAGCTGCCTCGTATGGACCAACAGCAGCTGCCTCGTATGGACCAACAGCAGCTGCCTCGTATGGACCAACAGCAGCTGCCTCGTATGGACCAACAGCAGCTGCCTCGTATGGACCAACAGCAGCTGCCTCGTATGGACCAACAGCAGCTGCCTCGTATGGACCAACAGCAGCTGCCTCGTATGGACCAACAGCAGCTGCCTCGTATGGACCAACAGCAGCTGCCTCGTATGGACCAACAGCAGCTGCCTCGTATGGACCAACAGCAGCTGCCTCGTATGGACCAACAGCAGCTGCCTCGTATGGACCAACAGCAGCTGCCTCGTATGGACCAACAGCAGCTGCCTCGTATGGACCAACAGCAGCTGCCTCGTATGGACCAACAGCAGCTGCCTCGTATGGACCAACAGCAGCTGCCTCGTATGGACCGACAGCAGCTGCCTCGTATGGACCGACAGCAGCTGCCTCGTATGGACCGACAGCAGCTGCCTCGTATGGACCAACAGCAGCTGCCTCGTATGGACCAACATCAGCTGCCTCGTATGGACCAACATCAGCTGCCTCGTATGGACCAACAGCAGCTGCCTCGTATGGACCAACATCAGCTGCCTCGTATGGACCAACATCAGCTGCCTCGTATGGACCAACATCAGCTGCCTCGTATGGACCAACATCAGCTGCCTCGTATGGACCAACATCAGCTGCCTCGTATGGACCAACATCAGCTGCCTCGTATGGACCAACATCAGCTGCCTCGTATGGACCAACATCAGCTGCCTCGTATGGACCAAAAAAACTTACCACCATTACCTTCAAGTTATCATACCTGTCCAGGTGCGTGAAGCCCATCCCACGACAGATAACTCTGCCGATGTTCTTGTCGAAGTGCGAGGTCCCACCCCAGGAGTGATGTGACGCCGGCAGGTGGACAGGCTCTTGCTCCTGACGGGGGATAGACGGGAGTGAGCAGGAGGATAGACGGGAGTGAGCAGGAGGATAGACGGGAGAGAGCAGGAGGATAGACGGGAGAGAGCAGGAGGATAGACGGGAGAGAGCAGAATGCGGACAGGTATAACACATCAATATCTTATCAACAGGAGAAAAAATAACATCAATAAAATGACTCAGAATGAACATTTACGTGAATAACAGGAGGGTAGGGTAATGAGTAATTACGGGTGAGTAATACTCAAGAAGTATGAATATCTGGAATAGGAGATTCGTGAATAACGGAAAGGAGGCAAACATGGAGAATAAACATATGAGAAGGAATACCAACAAAGATCCAAGCCATCCGAGAATAACTAACGGAAATGACACACCTACAGATAGAGATGAATATAGGTCTCAACGGCCCTAGAATGGAGGGGGAAGGGGGGCTCTCGACGGCCCTAGAAGGGAGGGGGAAGGGGGGCTCTCGACGGCCCTAGAAGGGAGGGGGAAGGGGGGCTCTCGACGGCCCTAGAAGGGAGGGGGAAGGGGGGCTCTCGACGGCCCTAGAGGGGGGGCTCTCGACAGCCCTAGAAAGGGGCTCTCGACAACTCTATATAGAGCAGCAGTCGTGAGGCCCACCTGTCAAAAGACAACCTCGACCACACAAAACACTCGTGTACGAGTACTCTACAGAGACGAGGCAGAGTGCCACAAGCAAGAAGAGTGCCGTAGCCAAACACTCGAGTGAGAGAGTGACGGAAGCGTCCCTGGGTTATCCCAAGAGGTGGCCCTTGTCTGTGGGACCCAGGGATTATCCCCGCCATGTCGGGGGCCCCAAGTGGCACTCCTCCTGATGTGACTGTCGTGACCACATGACTCATGACGTCATGAAAAGGGGAAAACAAAAGAGAGAACGAGAGAGAAAGAGACAGACAGACAGAAAGAGACAGAGAAAAAGAAAGAGAAAGAAAAAGAAAGAGAAAGAAAAAGAAAGAGAAAGAGAGGAGAGAAAGAGGAGAGAAAGTGAAAAAGAGAGAAAGATTTATGTAAAAGGGAAAAAATCGATTGGTTAGAAAGACGGAGTGCAAGAGCTAATATCTTGATTCTGCAGACACAAATAGTAAATACACAAATACGCAATGCGTCACGCACGCCACCTGCCACCGTGGGGGGTCGAAGGCTTCACTCCCCCGAGCGAGGCCCGGGGACCCATGGCACGATAAGATAAGGATCTCGCTAAGTGAAATGCATTATAGCCTATCTGGGAGATAATGTTTGTGGTATGAGGCGACGACCAGGCCAGCTGGCGTCTGGTGGACCTCTGCTGTCTCTCTCCTCTCCCCCTCTCTTTATCCTTCCCAATCTCTTCCATCCGTGCCTCTCCTCTCTTTCTATATCCCTCCTTCCCTCTGTCCATCTATTACCATATGTATAAATGTATCGGCTGGTTCCTCTCTGGATTCCACAGTTGATGAAACTTTGCATTTGACCTCCAGGTACTACGCGCTCGGTAATGGGGTCGAGCGCTCCGTAACTCGCTACAAATTATGGAGAGCAGCACTACCGTGTCTATGCCAGAGACACGCATATATAACCAACAACAACAGCCAAAAAAGTCACACGCACAAAAACTGGTCGGTATACTCTCCAAAATTAGACATTATGTGCACCACTCTCCTCTCACTATACTACGTACTAATCTATCCTTATCTTACATATGATATCTGAATGGAGTTCAACCACTGCAAATTACCTCAAGCCTATCATCACTCGGCAAAAATCTGCTATCAGAACTATAACAGTCTTCAGACAACATACATCCCCTCTGTTGACCAGACCACACACTAGAAATTGAAGGGACGACGACGTTTCGGTCCGTCCTGGACCATTCTCAAGTCGATTGTGAATGACAATCAATCGACTTTAGAATGGTCCAGGACGGACCGAAACGTCGTCGTCCCTTCAATTTCTAGTGTGTGGTCTGGTCAACATACTTCAGCCACGTTATTGTGACTCATCGCCTGCATACATCCCCTCTCTTTAAGTCCCTTAACATGCTAAACACACACACACTTCACACACTATTGTGCTATTTACAAGTACAAAACCGTGTTCCTAAATGCTAATCTTGATCTGAAACTATTCCTTGATATATGTAACAGAACCCATTAACACAACACCAGAAATAATATCACTGATATCCCCAGAGTCAGGCTAAATCTGTGCAAACACTCCATGCAAATTAAAGGACAATTGTTTATGGAACTCAGTCCCTAATGAATTAAAAAAAATAGTCCAATTTATGACTTATTTAAAAGCAAAAACAAAAAAATACCTTATTTCATCCTCATAGTTTCCCATCTTGTGTTTTAAACTATCTTGTACTACCCACTCCCCCAATATTAGTATTTAAAACATGCAGTTTCAGTAATATTTTATCAATTTATATGTAATTATGTTAAACTCAAAATTAGTACAATGTACATCTTTATAAACTTATTTTTTTAGATTAAGGACGTGTCCGAAACGCTATGGTTGTTAGTGTTAGTTTTTTAGTTAAGTTCATTTATTATGCACCCCATACCCATCTTGTGGGCGGTAGTGGATAAGGGTTACAGAGGCACATAATGGGCTCAGGGACTGAACCCCACAATTCATTTAGCTAAGCAAGTTACAATCTTGATGAGCTAGTTACAACATTCAATATAAGTCGTCACATCAACAATGGGTTCGAGATCGACCTCAAGTAGGTTCTTAGAGGCTTTGCAAAATTTAAGAACGCCAATATACAAAAATAAAATAAAAATTTTTTTTTAAAAACAAGAGATTTTCCAAAATTTGATAGATTCATAGATAGAACTAGTACATACAATGCCTAAAGCCACTATTACGCAAAGCGTTTCAGGCAGGAAAAACATTAATGACTAAAGCTTAATACTAATTGAGTATAAAGAATAAAATGTGTTGAGAACATATAAAAATAAAGATAAAAAAGGGGGGAAACATGGCTGAAAACTCGGCACAAATAACAATTAGGACGACAAACAGCGTTGTTTAAAAAAAAAAGTACAATATAATGTACTGATACATAATGTACATTGTTTACATTACGGGAATACAATATAATGTATTCCCACAAACCCATTGTATCTTCTTGTATTAAATAGAAATACAATATGCTGAGTAGCATCATAAGAGCAATAGGTACCTGGGTGTTAGTCAGCTGTCACGGGCTGCTTCCTGGGGGTGGAGGCCTGGTCGAGGACCGGGCCGCGGGGACACTAAAAAGCCCCGAAATCATCAAGATAACCTCTGATTTAGAAAACAAAAAATGGCTCTTTGAATGGAGGATTAGATAATCCCTCCCTCTAATCCTTCCCCAGGGGGGGGGGGGGGAGGTACACAAGGTAGCCTCCCCCAAGGCACATGATAAGTCACACATTCGTGGTGACACCGCGTCACCACCTACCTTGAGGTTACCTTGAGGTGCTTCGGGGCTTAGCGTCCCTCGGCCCGGTCGTCGACCAGGCCTCCTGGTTGCCGAACTGATGAACCAGGCTGTTGGACGCGGCTGCTCGCAGCCTGACGTATGAGTCACAGCCTGGTTGATCAGGTAGTCCACGGATAGTCATCACTATCTTGAAGCAAATATTGACCAAGAACAATACGCTAGACATGATGCAACCAGCGCCGTGTACCTCCCGTGTCAAGGACGGGAACTACACCTGGAGAGCCACATTCCTGTTCTTGAGAATGTCGAACATTAGAATGTTATGGAGGTGGACGTATGCAATGTTCAGCGAGGGTGTTGTGTTATATGAAGCTGTAGACGGGAGAGAAGCGGCTTAACAGCTTCAGGAAGCGGCAGTAAACAGTACACAACGGTTAAATTTTGCCCCGAGGGGCGAGTTTATTGGGCAGCGGCACTCATCCTGCGAGTGGACACACCGCCATAGTGACAGTATTTGGGAGCGCCACTCATCCTGTGAGTGGACACACCGCCATAGTGACAGTATTTGGGAGCGCCACTCATCCTGTGAGTGGACACACCGCCATAGTGACAGTATTGGGTAGCGCCACTCATCCTGTGAGTGGACACACCGCCAGTGACAATATTTGGGAGCGCCACTCATCCTGTGAGTGGACACACCGCCATAGTGACAGTATTGGGCAGCGCCACTCATCCTGTGAGTGGACACACCGCCATAGCAGCATGTACAACACTCCCCAATAGGAAGAAAACCCGCTGGGTGGTTCATCCTGCAGTCATACCTCTTGAACCTGAAGCAGCCACTGAGGAGTAAGACACCAAGGTACCACAAGGCTAAGATGGTTATCAGGACAAAGCACCAAGCCATTACAACTATATACCACTTGGAAGGGACATGAAGATCAGGATTTTAGGATACGACGGAAGAAAGGGATAGTGCCCAACCACTGCGACGGTCGGGAATTGAACGCCGCCATGCAAGGAGCGAGACCGGTTGGGCACTTCATCCTTAGTAAATGCATTGTTGTGATAGCCAAGATCAAGGACACTCACCCAAGTACCGTACTTTAGTTGCCAACTCCCTGAATAAGTAGGAAAACTATACACACATGAGCCAAGATGGCCCTTAAGCCAAGATGGCCCTTAAGCCAAGATGGCCCTTAAGCCAAGATGGCCCTTAAGCCAAGATGGCCCTTAAGCCAAGATGGCCCTTAAGCCAAGATGGCCCTTAAGCCAAGATGGCCCTTAAGCCAAGATGGCCCTTAAGCCAAGATGGCCCTTAAGCCAAGATGGCCCTTAAGCCAAGATGGCCCTTAAGCCAAGATGGCCCTTAAGCCAAGATGGCCCTTAAGCCAAGATGGCCCTTAAGCCAAGATGGTCCTTAAGCCAAGATGGTCCTTAAGCCAAGATGGCCCTTAAGCCAAGATGGCCCTTAAGCCAAGATGGCCCTTAAGCCAAGATGGCCCTTAAGCCAAGATGGCCCTTAAGCCAAGATGGCCCTTAAGCCAAGATGGTCCTT